AGAGAGACTGCAACTGGCCGGCCAAGCGGCGTGAGTGTGGTGCGGTCTCGAAAGAAGGAGTGAGAAGCCCCCGAGTCAAGGGTGAAGGTGTGGGAGGCCGAAGCCGACGCAGAACCTGAGAGAGCAGACTCACCAGTACCTGAGGGAGCAGACGCACCTAGAGCAGCAGCCTCGCTAGCACCTAGAGCAGCAGCCTCACCAGTACCTAGAGCAGCAGTCTCAATGCCCGGGTCGGGCGGAAAACACCGGTAACAGTCACCCTCATCACTAATAGTCACAGTATACATGGCAGCAAGAATAGCATCAAAGTCAAGGTCAAAGACAGCTACACCCGCCCTAGACAGCTCACCCCAGCGGGGGATCTCAGTGGCCTCAGGGAACTGGTGACGCCAAGCGTCCGTGAGGCGGCCAAAGCAGCGCTGGGTGGAGTGCGCACCCCCGCACTGCTCACCCGCGCGGTCGCCGGTGCGGAGGACGTAGGTGCACGGACCAGTACCCCCACCCCTCTGCCGTGCAGCGTACCACTCACGGAGTTGCTGAGGGGAGGGGATGTCACGAGTGCGCTGCTGCTGCTGCTGCTGCTGGCGCTGACCACCACCGGAGCCGACCCTCTGCGCAGCGCCACCCCGACCAGCTCCACCTCCTCCACCGCCTCCTCCTCCACCGCCGCCACCTCCGCTCCCACCGCCACCGCCGCCGCCGCCTCCACTGCCGCCACCGACACCGCCACCCCGCCACCACCCCCACCGCCACCCCCACCCCCTCCACCGCCTCCACCTCCGCCTCCACCGCCCCCGCTAGCTCCTCCAGTGCCCCTGCCCCCCTTGCCCTTGCCAGGGCGACGTCTCCCGCTAGGGGTAGACGCCGCACCGACCGACTCAAGCCCAACGAGGTCGGCCGCAGCAACAGAGGCAACAGAGGGCAAAAGGGGGGAGGGGGAACACCCCTCAAAGACGGGGGTGCGAGGGTCACCACGAGAGGCTCCTACAGCGACTATGCTCTTCTCTGCTGCTAGGAGGGACTTCTCGAGGAGGTCAACGGTGAGAGTGGTGGGGCAGACTGAGAGGAAGTGGTCCCTGACTACGCGAAGGGAGTCAGGGAGCCGGGTGACTATATAGTAGAGGGTGATGTACATGGGGGGGGGGTTCTTCGCGCAGAACTCAGCAGGAAGCGCAGCGCGGTAGCGAGTGTCACTAGTGCGAAGGTGCGTAATGAGGTCAGCGACTGTGGGAAAGGCAGCAAGGTCAGGGAAGAGGTACGGTAGCATGAGACGGCTCAGTGCAGCAGTGGCAGGGGAGGAGTAGCGCGCAACTACAGCGTCGTACAAGGTCTGAGCACTCTTGTACTGGCTAAAGTGCGCACGCTCAGAGGTAGGCAGGTGGCGACGCACAGCAAGACGTGCAGCAGCATCGCGAGTGGCCCACTGTGAGCGAACAGTGGCGTCGGCATCAGCAGCAGGGGCAGGAGAGGCACCAGAGGTGAGGTCAAAGAGGGAGAGACCGTCTGCCCTATCGCACTGTAGGAAAAGCTGCAGGTCATCTACCCAGACTTCAAAGTCAATGGCCCGACCCTCAGCGTCAAAAGCGAGGACACTAGGGGTAGCCATGACTGCAGTAGACTAGCAGCAGGAACAGTAGGGCAAGGGCAGTGCAGTGACAGAGGCTCTGCTCTTACCGGACAGGGCGGCTCGGGTGGCTCGGCGGCTCGGCGGCTCGGCAGCTCGGCGGCCCGAGCGGCTCAGCGGCAACAGCGGCTCGGCGACTCGGCGGCTCGGGCGGCTCGGGTGGCTCGGCGACTCGGCGGTCCGGGCGGCTCGGCGGTCGGTTGCTGGGCGGCTCGGCGGCTCGACGGCTCGGCTGCTGGGCGGCTCGACGGCTCGGCGGCTGGTGTGGTTGGTGCGACTGCTGCTGCAGAGACGGCGGCGGCTGCTGCCTCAGGGACGGCAGTGGCCGGCCGCTAGGGGCCGCGTCAGGTGCAGTAGAGGGCCGCGTCAGGGGCGGCGTAGGGGCCGCGACAGGGGCGGCGTAGGGGTCGCAACAGGGGCGGCGAAGGGGCCGCGTCAGGGGCCGCGTCAGGGGCCGCGTCAGGGGCGGCGTAGGGGCCACGGCAGGGGCGCGTCAGGGGCCTCGTCAGGGGCCGCGGCAGGGGCCGCGTCAGGGGCGGCGTCAGGGGCGGCGTAGGGGCCGCGGTAGAGGCGGCGGAGGGGCCGCGTCAGGGGCCGCGCCAGGGGCCTCGTCAGGGGCCGCGGCAGGGGCCGCGTCAGGGGCCGCGCCAGGGGCCTCGTCAGGGGCCGCGGCAGGGGCCGCGTCAGGGGCGGCGTCAGGGGCGGCGTAGGGGCCGCGTCAGGGGGCCGCGTCAGGGGCCGCCTCAGGGGCAGCGTCAGGGGCCGCGTCAGGGGCCGCGTCAGGGGCTGCGCAGGGGCCGCGTCAGGGGCCGCGTAGGGGCCGCGTCAGGGGCCGCGTCAGGGGCTGCGCAGGGGCCGCGTCAGGGGCCGCTTCAGGGGCTGCGCAGGGGCCGCGTCAGGGGCCGCGTAGGGGCCACGTCAGGGGCCGCGTAGGGGCCGCGTCAGGGGCGACGTAGGGGCCGGGTAGGGGCCGCGTAGGGGCCGCGTGGGGGCCGCGTAGGGGTCGCGTAGGGGCCGCTAGGGGGGGGGGGGGGGCGCTAAAAAAAAAATTAGGGCAGGGGCGCAATGCGCGTCGGGCAGCTAAAAAAAAAAATTCGTTATGGTGGGCCCTTAGGAAGGAACGGTCCCATGTAGGAACCCGCTCTATACCATGTGAAACAAGAAAAACAGGAATGACTAAGTGAAAGTTGGGTACAAAAAGGCAAACCCTAAACAACTGTACCCCATATGTGCTACCCCACTATAGCCTACAGTAGCTATGTCATATAAACCTGACAACGGGCCCCTTCTTGCATGTGTGCGCTTGTTGAAATGATTGGAAATGTGTTTGACCTTGTTTTCCCCTTGTTTTTCTTGGTGACCAGAGTTCTCTAACAAAACAACGGCCGTTTTTTTGAAAAAACACCGTAAAAAAAGACCGTAAAAAACGGACTGTATTTTACGAAAACCGTTTTTTTTAACCTTGGTTCGGACTGACTACCCGGGCGGGTCGAGTAGCGTATACTCGGGCGGGTATAAAATACCCGGTACCCGACCCGGGTGTCCAAAGTCGGGTATTTTAATGCCCGTCGGATCAAGTATACCCGACCCGAAGTCGGGTCAGTAATCCGTAGTCGGGGCGGGTATACCCTAATCCGACGGGCTGTGCTTAGGGTTACGATTTTGAAAGGTCGACAAATGTCGACCTTTCAGATCACAGATAACAAAACTAGTGGGCTGGATCTGGCTATTGCGAGATCCAGCTCAGAATCTGGATCCCCAACCCCCCCCCACAACAATTTCCCCCCACGTAAAAGCACATCTTCATGCAAAATGCTCTCCCAACCCCTCCTCACAGCCCCCAACCTACGAAAGTTCGAATTTTGCTCCCCACAATCCCCAACTTACGAAATTCGTGAATTCTGCTCCCCACAATCCCCAACTTACGAAATTCGCGAATTCTGCTCCCCACAGTCCCCACCTTACGAATTTGGCGAATTCTGCTCCTCCGCGCCCCCAACTTACGGACATTGCATTGCGAATGCTTCCCCCAACCCCCAACTTACGAGATTCTGCGCTATCCCTATCCAACCCTTTCCAGACAACCTAGATCTCACCTACCCGCCAACCTAGATCTCACCCTAAACCTAAGTCCAGAATAAACTTACTTTTGCGTACAATCTAATAGAACAAAACGAAGGGTATTCGGGTTACCCGACCCGACCTCCGGTATACCCGACCCGACCGCGGGTCAGAGATACCCGAGACGTACTGGGCGGGTCGGGTCAACATCCAGGGCCCAAATACCCGGGGTCGGGTATACCCGACCCAACCCGAACCCGACCTCAGGTCGGCCTAGACGGGCGGGTCGGGCTAATGCCCATGCCTACGCCAAACTGCCCATCCGGCCCGGTCCAGTTCGACCAGGGCCGAACCTGGTTCGGTCCTTGCTCAACCTCAGATCAAACGTGTTTGAGTTCGCTCATTGCTCGTGTTTAGTTTCGCCACGAACACAATCAAACAAAAACATGCTCGTGTTCGACGCAGCTCGGCAAAAAAAAAACAAAAAAAAAAACAAAAAAAAAAAAAACCAAAAAAAAGGTGTTCACCCTTCTGCTCATGTCTATTTGCACCTGTGACCCGACCAATTAAGTATTGGGTCGGGTCTACCTTACCCGAACATGTCTTTTGTTCGTGTCTAGCTCAGGATACGATTCCCAAACTGTTTTTTTTTGTCTGATGAATATCCATCTTTATGCCCGGTTCATGCTCCGTATTTATCAGGAATTTTGGGTACAATATCTTGACCGCATCCATTCCATCCACTATTGGACGGATCACTACCTTGACATACTTGTGAGTACTTTGCTGTGCTGCTGGATTAATGTATGCCTCTCAACGGTCAACGTGTAGTCAACATCCAATAACTTCTGATCCTACTCATTCCGTTTTAGGGACTACAGAACCAGAAGCAGCCAAATCTGCTTTCTGTTAAGAGTCTATGAACCTGTAGCTTACTGCATAGATATCATGCTCTAATCTGCAATCTCACTTAATTGTACTAATACCCTGGACTGTGCCAGACTCGAACAAGCCTGAATCGGGCCGAAAAGGGTTCAGACGAACCGTTTCTGACCCGGTCACCATATGGCCAAAGCCGGGCCTAGGTACGGCTCAGCCAGCCCGGTTCGGCCTGTTAAAGATGACACCGGCTTGCAACCTACAAAGACCTGCCAATGACTCATGGCACACACACATCATTGTGATCAATTGGTATTCTTCTACATACATGGCAACCTTCCTTGGCTCATCTTTCTCATCTTCATCGAAGCACACGCTGACATCACACTTCTCAATCCCTCCCTCTTGTCCCTGCCTCTTGTCCCTGTGGATGCAGGAACCTCTTATCAACCGGAATGTCAGGCTCCATCCCAGAATCATTTGCGCACCTTACTAACTTGGAAGCAGTGTACGTATTTGCATGTTCATCAAGGATTGTTCCTTACGAGCTGTAAAGCTCCTGCAGTATTGAGGTGTTCAGAGAGAAATATGGGAGGTGAGGTACACAAGATGTGATGCATATGATGACATCACACCGCAAAAGAAACGTCACCCCCGTTCACTTTGTCTTCACTCTCTCTCGAACGGTCCTTGTATTAATATATGGGGTGATACAAGGTAGTAGCAACCACATGCAAGACAAGCGGACCAGTATCCTATCCAGGGTTATAAAAAACGACCGTTTTTTTGAAAATTTACCGTAAAAAACGGTGCCGTAAAATACGACCGTTAAAAACGGTTTAAAACGGTTCCAGGAGGTGTTTTCAGTTTAGTTAACAAATCGGCCACTTTATGGGACCAAATTGAACCCGAAAGTCACCAGGATGAAGGGGACGGGCCCCTTCTTCCATGTGTGCGCTTGTTTGCATGATTGAAAATGTCTTTGACCTTGTTTTTCCCCTTTTTTCCTTCTTGACCAGAGTTCTCTAACAAAAAGACGGCCGCATTTTTGGATAATCACTGTAAAAAACGACCGTAAAAAACGGACCGTATTTTACGAAAACCGTATTTTTGAACCTCGATCCTATCTACCACATTGTCACCTACCCTCGCCCTCCCCCCTCTGTCCGACCCTAGTGGTCGAGCGGGGGCTCAATCAGTTGGTGCAGATGCCCCTCACTAAGAGGGGCGAACAGGCCGTGCATGCCGAGCTCGTCCGCAGTGGCGCAGCCAAGGCCTCGTTGGTCTTGGAGCGGAGGGCGTGCGCTGAAGAGTGACGCTCCAGCGCTGGCGGTACTCGGTGAGCAGCTTAGCTGCTTCGTGGGAGGTCGGAGCAGCGTTGTCGCACAGCTTAGCCGCCAGCTCGGCGCATTGCCGCAGGTAGGCGTGCACCCCCGGCGAGGGGTAGCCATAAGTTTCCACTGCCGTAGCGTGGAAGCCCACCCACGCATTCCTAGGCGCGTACTTCTCCTCCTTCCTCGTTGCTGCCGCCATAGCCACCCACCCCGGTGCCCGGTTGCAGTTTACGTCTTGGTAGGAGACGGGGTCCGTCACGGTCACATCACACATCCAAACTTCTCCGGTCAGGGGATGACGGATGGTGACGGAAGGATTTCAACCAGAGAGTATACGTAGGTCTCTTTGTGCACCGTATTCCGCCTCGGCCCCGATTCGTGCATGCAACCTCGTCCCGAAGTGCGTGGTGAGTGGATATCCTCCCTGTCCCCTTCTCCCAACGCATGAGATGGTGGGGAGGCGATCATCCGGGAAGGTGGTGCGGTATCGGCAGTCACATCGCCTTGGGAGGGACCGGTAGGAGGAGGCCTAGGCGGAAGGCTGCTGCTGTTGAGAGCTGAGATGGGCCCAAGCGAAGTGCTGGGATGTGAGGTATCGCCAGCAGCCAATCCCCTGCTCTGGGGCCCAGCACTGACTGCATTCGCTGGGTGTGTCCGGAGAGGGGGTTGGGGCGCGTCCTCCTTGCTTCATTCATAACCCTGATGATGCGGCGGGTGTGCACCGCCAGGGCGAGCGACTGCTGCAGTTTGAGGCCCTTGGGGTCCTCCTTTCCCGCTTGGAGGGCCTCCAGAGCCTCGGGGGGGAGGGCGGCCTCGGCCACTGCCAGGCGTGCAAGGAGGGCGGCTGTGGAGTCCGGGATGGAGTCCGGGATGGAGTCCGGGATGGAGTCCGGGATGGAGTCCGGGATGGAGTCCGGGATGGAGTCCGGGATGGAGTCCGGGATGGAGTCCGGGATGGAGTCGGGGATGGAGTCCGGGATGGAGTCCGGGATGGAGTCGGTGATGGAGTCCGGGATGGAGTCCGGGATGGAGTCGGGGATGGAGTCCGGGATGGTGTCCGGGATGGAGTCCGGGATGGAGTCCGGGATGGAATCCGGGATGGAGTCCGGGATGGAGTCCGGGATGGAGTCCGGGATGGAATCCGGGATGGAGTCCGGGATGGAGTCCGGGATGGAGTCCGGGATGGAGTCCGGGATGGAGTCCGGGATGGAGTCCATTAGGGGGTGGAGGGCTGCTACAGCGAGGTGGAGCGCGTCGCCGAGCCAGTGCTGGTGGGAGGTGCTGATCACCGAAGCTAGGTAAGCGTAGCTTCCTTCAATAACTGGGTCACTGATGCCAAGTCCTCCCAATGTTACCGGCAGCGCTGCTTGCCGCCAAATCCGCCTCCTCTCCGCCTCGCTTCGGGGTGTTAGGATATGGGCCGCGTCCAGAAAGGTATGTAGCAGCTGCTCCCCCCATGCTGACCACTCTGCTTCTGGTAGCACCTCGAGGGGGGTTGTTCTGGCCAGGAACGAAGCACGACGGCTGTCGCAGCGGGTGAGGGGGAGGAGGCTGAGTTGCGGGTCCATTTGGGACAGGAGAGGGCCTACAGTTGAGCAGGTGACCCGCGCGGGTCGGGCCGGCCCGACCCGACCCGTGGTTTAGCACGGGTCGGGGCAGTGTTTTCATTTGCGTGCCCCGTTCAGGTTGACCCGACCCGACCTGGGCAAAAACCTGGCCCGAGTTCCAAGCTCGGGCCGGGTCGGGTCGGGTTTTGGGTCAAGCTTGACCCGACCCAAATTCGGGTCAGGACCAGGGAAATCGGGTCGGGTGCCCGACCCGATTTTGACACCCAGAGGACAAACCCTAGGTCAAAATGTTGTCAAGGGTTTTTTTATCCCCTCGACAGCAAACGCTACCCACGCGCGGCCTTGGCAATTATGCGCAGCAGACACTCGCCCATCCCTATCGGTCTCGTCCCCCCTTGCGGCTTCGGGATGTGAGGAGAGAGGCGAGAGGCGGTGAGGAGGCGAGAGGCGGTGAGGAGGTCAGCTACGTCTGCACTCAGTTTTCCAGCCAACGCTGTGTTGGTAAGAGCGAGAAGGTGAGTGAAACGGTCTTGGTTTCCAAGAGCTGCATTACGGATAATTCGCCTGAACTTGGGGGCGTCGATTGCAAGTGAGTTCTCTGTGGCGAAGGTGCGCTCCTAGTCAGGTAGGGATGAGCAAGGGGCGAACACAAACGCGTTCGTGTTCGCCCCTAGACGAACACAGCCGTTTGCCGAACGGAACACTGTTCGGTTCGGCGAACACTTTAAGCAAAAACAGGTGTTTGCCGTTCGCCTGTGAAGGCGTGTTCGGGCGAATCTCGAACACGTTCGTGTTTGCGGGGCAAATTGCAGCAGCGGCCCGAACACGAACGTGTCCGGGCGAACATCGAACACTGTTCGGCGAACACTTGGGGCGAAAAAAATACAAACCTCTTCGGTTCGCCTCGAACTTGCTCAACCCTATAATCGGGCAGGGCCTGGTGGGCTCGTGGGTGTCGTCGCGCCTATAAGGCATTGAGCACTTCAGGGGATGGCGTTGCGACTGCTGTAGCTTGGAGAGTCTGTAGGGATTTGGACAGGTTGCCTCGTTTCGCCAAACCTTCCGCTCTGGCGAGAACTACCGTGGTGTCAGGTACGTGGCGTGGCTGGGGTGGGAGGGAAATTGCTTCGACAGCTTTGTCGTACAGGCTGGCCCAGTATCCCTGGAAAGAAGGAGGTGGCGATGCATCATCGCGTTCCAGTCTGGCTTGCAAGCTGACGCGGTGCGAAGTAAAATCGCGGGAGGAAGGTGAGTAGCTTCCAGCCTGCTGTTGAATCGGGATTGGCTGCCAGGTGGGGCAGTGGGGTCAGCAGTAAGCCTGTAAATACGAATACGAATAGTTTTTCTGAATATTCTACCGAATACTGACCCAAAACCGAATACGAATATGATTCGAATACTGACCCAAAACCGAATACGAATGCGATTCAAATACTGCCGAATTCAAATTAAATACGATTAGGTGTCGAATAATAAAAATTTGTAGAGGCAGTGTCGAACGGGTAATGCATGTTTGACACGGTGATATAGTGTACCTCATACCACACCACGGCTCAATCCCGCACCACGCGCTATCCCTAACCCCTCTCCAGATACTCTCTTGCACGGCTCTCACGAGGCCTCTTGTACACAGACTGCCAAAGATGATAGCCGCATGTAGGGAAAGTATGAGGGGGGATCAATGGTAGAATACCGAATAGTAACGAATATTTCGAATATCGTTACTCGAATATTCTACATACTAGATTTTGCGAATATTTTCGAATACACGGTCGTTTCCTATTCTCTTGAATTCAGGTATTCGAACGAATATCGAATAGTTCTCGAATACCAAATATTCCTTTACAGGCCTAGTCAGCAGGCATGCTGCGAAGGCCTCGCGAACCCCCCCACCCCTTTCCACCGCACCACATCTACATCTTCCCACCACACACACATTTAGCCCACTCCTCAACTTACTCGACTTCATTCTACAGTTTCGACCACCAACTTTCTACCGTTGCTAGCTTACAACGCGATCTTAGGTTAGGAGTTTTAAGGCGATCTTTACCTGAAGGGTTTTGTAAGCTGCCGAATGGTTTTTTTTTCCTGCCCGCCAGAGCGTCAAAACCGACGTCAAACTCTCAGAGGGTTGCAACCAGCGTAAGAAACGTTGCGTAACTCTTGGCGTCAAAACGCTAGCGTCAAAACACTGGCTCCGTCAATTCCAACTAAGCTTGCTTGTCAATGCATGCACGTTCTACTCTTACCTTCCCATCCCTTTTTAGGGATCTTTCCGAAAATGGCTTCGCTGGATCCCTTCCATCAGCTATTGGACGTTTGAGCTGCCTGACAATATTGTGAGTAGGATTGGGACAAGACAAGCACCTCAAGTGTTGCCCTTTCATTAATCGATTTGTTCTAAAACAGCGTGTCGAGTTGGGTGATATGCGGTACTTGTTGGTAGGCTTAAGCACGGGCCAGGCTAAAGGCCGGTGTAGACCAGGGCCGGGCCGATCGAGGGTGGCCTCGATGGGACAGCTCTTTGGAAAGTCACCGTCATGCCGGCCAGCCTAGGGTAATGGTGAAAGGTCCTGAATTTGAATCCCATTGTGCACCAATCATCGCCTGTGTCTGAAAAAGCTTCTGTCTGATTTGGCGAGGCATAAGTTGAGTACTTTGCTTGCGATGAGGTCGATGATCGTTTCATTTCAGCCCTGCGCTAACACACATACACATGTTCTGTGAAATCCCAGATTTCCTGTACAGCAAGAAATGCTAAGCATGATGAATCTGTGTGTATCAGAAGCAATATCAAGCAAACGAAAAAAACGTCTTCAATTTGCTCGTCATCATAAACTCATCAGGCTTACACAGGGTAATCTGTTCTTTTGGATGCTCATTCACTGGGTGCACGCCTTTTCACCATAAGGTCTCTTCAGTTCAACAGCCTGAATGGAACAATTCCCGACTCCATGTCTAGGATGTCTAACCTTGCAACATTGTGAGTACTAGTCGTTCATGGGTTGCCATGTTGCGCTGGAAGCAACCATTAGCTCTGTGCTGGTATTGCGGTGCTTGTTTCTATTGTTAACGTACAAGGAGAGAGTGGGAGTTGAACCAAATGTATTCTTAATCTTGTCTTGTCTATGTGCACTTGCCTGCCACCTAGCCCCTCTTGGATGTGCATGCTGGGTGTATGTATGTTTAATTCTTTTTGTTTAAACAATTACTGTGCTTACCGTGGCTCTTTTTTTTTTTTCCCTATTCTCCACATTGCAGATCTGTTTTTTCAAACCAACTGTCGGGATCCATACCAGACTGGATTGGAAGCCTTACAGGCCTAAAATCACTGTGAGACTAAGGCTTGCAAGATCGTCGATCTACACAGAGCGTAGAAATGGGCGAAATCGCCAACCCGATCTGCCTCCGGGGTCGTTTTGACTCCAACCCAATCCTATTAAACGCAACTTTATATCCTGACACGTTGGACTCGCCGAGACCCAACCAAACCGGTTCGGCTGGGGCCGGGTCGGGGCCGTTTCTTCATGCCCATTGTAATTTCTACTCGACTAGACTCGACTCGACACGAGCTCAACTCAATTCGGCTCGAGGCCATGCTCATGCCTATCCCAATGCGGTTCACTGAATTGGTTCTGTGTTATGCATGTTATTAAGCATGAATAACTGCATCCAATAAAGTTTACACTGGTATCAATCTTCCGTAACTTTCTTTCCAGGTCGCTTTCCAGGAACAACTTCAGTGGCACGATTCCTGAATCCATTGGCATTCTAGTATCTCTCAAAGAACTGTAAGATGTTCTTTCAGCTTCAGAAGACTTCACTTCACTTTGAACATACGCGATTTCTAGAAATGGATGACAATTTGTGTTCCTTCATGTTCTCTTCTAACAAATTCCAAGGTTGACACTGTGCTATCATTCGTGTTGTATCCACTTTCTTTTTCTTGTTGTGCATCTCTAGACGTTTCTTTGAACTTCAATTCGGGCGGTGGTACTAGTCATGAGCAGGGGGCGAACATAAACCCTAAATCCTACACGACTACAATGAAGGGTCCAGGAAAAAAAAAAAAACATAAAAGGCCAAAAACGAACATGTTCATGTGTTCACCCTTCTGCTCATGTCTATGTGCACCTGTGTCCCGACCAGTTAAGTATTTGGGTCGGGTCTACCTTACCCGAAAAGGTTGTTTGTTCGTGTCTAGCACAGGATACGACTTGCCAGACTGCCTTTTTTTCTGATGAATATCCCTCTTTATGCCTGGTTCATGCTTCGTCTTTGTCAGGGATATAGCGAACAATAACTTGACCGCATCCATTCCATCCACTATTGGACGGATCACTCCCTTGAAACACTTGTGAGTACTTTGCTGTGCTACTAAATTGGTGTGCCACCTCTGCTTCCATACTTGTGAGCTTTCCTCGTCATTCACATGTGAGTCACATCCACAACGCAAGAAGCTTCGACTGCTGTTGATTATATTATAATGATGCACGCAGTGTGGACTGGGTGCGGTTGTCCATAAATGAATTCTGTGATGCGACGTTCTTGAAGTGTGATTGTCGTCATAGTAGCAGAAAAAAAAAAAAGGGAACAGCTGAAGTTCCCTTTCTCTTTATACCTTGCACGGTATTGAGGTGCTGACGGCGGCCACTTTTGATGCATCATCTTGGCACAACGTTTCTTTGGAAATGCTCTATTAGAGCGGCTATCCTAGGGTCAGCAGTAACTAGGGTCTTCATATGCATGACTAAACAAAGGTTGCAAGTTTGAGAGTTTGAGGTCCAGGAGGGGCAACCTGTGATCTTAACAGGTTTAGATTACACCCTCCACACGTGCATGCAGTAAGAGAAAGGTAGGAATGAGCACGAGGGCGAACCTTGTTCGTCGCGGGTCGGGCCGGTTTGTTTCTTACCCGGGCTGAAACGTTGAACCGTCTTCAGTTCGCTTTTGGCCGTGGGCTAGAATGTTGGGTCGAACTAGCCCGACTCGAGTCGCGGCCCGACCCGAGCCAAAATGGCCTGGGTTGGACCGGCGTGTCATTTGTCGCACGAGCATTTAGGCCAGAGGGGATGGAAGTTGGAGCTCAATGAAGCTTAGAATAAAAGTAGGATTGGAGGTCGAAATTATATTTTAAACACTAATGAGCTCCAACTTTTGGTTGCCTTTAAGTCTAGTTTGAACCGAATCTTAGCGCATCTAAGTTGAAATGCCTAGCCCGCCCCAGGCAGCCAAAAAACCTCTTATAGGGCATGGGAAGGGGGGGGTGAAGGACGTAGCTCACAATTGAGGCATTTTTCCCCCCTGCAGCAAGAAGCATACTATTACTAGAGGAAGCCATAACTAAGGTGTGAAACCTAACTAAACCCACAAGGGTTTATGAAGGAGAAGTGGGGTGAAGTACAGAGTTGGAGCACAAATGAAGTATTTGTGCTCCTAAATGCACTTTGTGGTGAGCCATCTTTTGTTGGGTTTTCTAGATGTAGTGCGGTTGGGTTGGGTTTACAGTTAAGGTTGGATGGTTAGGGGGGGTTACAAATTTGGTTGGGGTGCTGTTGCACATTCTTTCCTTGCCCATAGATTTGCACACAATCCCCCCTTAAAACCCAGGTCGAAGTGGGTTTGGGGGGGGTCAAAATATCGCAAAATTGACATTCACGACAACATCGCAAATGTCAATTGACATACCCGGGTTTTTTTGTTTTTCGGTCAGCCTGAAAAAAAAAACAAAAAAAAAACCGCCAAGCGTCCTACGTTTGGCGTGCGTCCGGCGTCCTACGTCCGAACGCTGCGTCTGGACGCAGGACGCCCTGAGCTCACACAGGTTCGCAAAGTGTTCGACGCGTACACTTTGAAGAAGAAGTAGGTCGACGATTGAGCTCATTCTTGAGCTCCATCGTCCTTTGAATTTCAAAAAGGCATTTCGTCCCCTATCCTAGTTACCTAGCCCATTCCCACTTTACGTTTCGGATTTTATCAGGAAATGTCAGGTCTAAGGTTAGGATTGCAGAGTTTTCTAGACCAGAAATTAGCAACATAATGATTTAGGTTAGAGTTTTGAAAGGCGAAATTATTGACCAGTATTAATCCCACACTTTTCGCTGGTCATCGTGGTGTTTCTTTTTAGGCAAGGGCACCCTGATCTTTTTACATGGTTTGAGTGTGAGTACAGTGAAAAGTTCCCCTGAAATAGAACTGCTGGAGTTCTAACACCTAAGTGTTCGGCCTTGCTCAAAACGTTCGACCCACAAGTCGAGCGTCGAACACTACCCATGAGAAAAACTGTTCGAGTTCGGTTCGACTTGACCAAGTGTTCTTGAACTGATCGAGTCAAACGTGTTCAGTTCGCTTGTTGCTCATGTCTAGGCACACCCAAATCACTCTGCCCTACTAATAATATTTTTCATACATGGCACTTGAACTTCCTTGACTCATCATTCTCTCCATCCAAGCACACGCTGACATCACACTTCTCAATTCCCCCCTCTTGTCCCTCCCTCTTGTCCCTGTGAATGCAGGGACCTCTCAGTAAATCATCTTTCGGGTTCCCTGCCAGAATCATTTGCGCGCCTTACTAACTTGGAAGAGTTGTACGTATTCACATGTTCATCAAGGATTGTTTCTTACGGCTGTAAATTTCCTGCTTTATCGAGGTGTGCAGATAGAAATATGGGACGGAAGGTAGACAAAGATATGATGCATGTGATGACATCACACCACAGAGGAAACGTCACCCGCTTCACTTTTTCTTTCATCGGTGTCTTTTTTTCATTCTTTCTTTCTTTTCCTTTTTTTACTTCACGTTACATTGGTAAACCTGCTACTTTGCATGGCCTGTGATGGCCCCTCTTCAGATTTCTCGACACCAACAATTTTTCAGGAAGCATCCCAAAGTCCTTTGGCAGCCTCGCACAACTTACTACCATGTAAACACCCTTCTCCTTGAAGTCTCCAACTAGTCATGTTTTCAGCCATGGCCAATACGGGATGACCCAGAGATCCCTGAAATTATTACATGTTTTGACATTGGCATTTTCCTGCAGTCTCCCTCTTGGACTTCTCTCTCGGCATTCATTTTCGACCTCACAACTTCTCCGTTTTATTCATATAGTCAAAACGTTCGGCATCTCAAGGGCTCTGGCTCCTGTCCTAAACCGTGGACTTTTTCAGCGTGTAGCGTTTATTCGCTTTCTTTTATACGCAAAAAACTCTATTCTAGCTGATACGCTACACGCAGTCAGAGGGCTGCCCGAAAAAAATAATGCCGATTTTTTTTGTGAGCATTACAAAGAAGTCAAAATGCACATCCGCGGTCTACTCAAGCAGGGATCTTACTTCAAAGATCTCAGTGTTGGGTGCAAAATAATTATTTTTGGCACGTCAACCAGCCGCCTGTGTCGCATTTTGCATTTTGTGTGTGTGCACATTTTTCATTTTCATTTTGTGAACGTTCTGTGCGCATTTGTTCTTTGTGTTTCGTTTTCATTCGTAATTGCATTTTGTGTTTGTGCATTTTCAGTTTCGTTTTCACTGTTCTCATGAAGCTCCCATGAAGCGCTCAAATGAGACCCTCATGATGCGCTCAAATGAGGCTCACGCGAAGCTCTCAAATGAGGCTCAAATGAAGATATTATGGAGCTCAAATGTAGCACGCATGGGACTTCAATGTTTGCGAGGCTCATGCGAGCGACCATGAAAGTCCCATGAGTCTCGAATTCTCATGCGAGGCTTATTCGGGTTTCATGCGAGCGGGTGGTGTACCGAGGGGTGCTCGGTTGTTTGACTGGTCAAGGGGGGTGCCTTGATTTTTTCGCGCGGGTCAACAGCGCGAAAGTCAAGACCCGATCGTGGGTCAAGGCACGCGCGTGTGGGACCACAGGGCACGCGCGTGTGCCGAGTACTGTTGTGAGCGCGCTGTACAGCACGATCGCAACAGGACAGGGCACGTTTCGGCCCTGTCCCGCACTGTACACGCGCATGATTGCGATCATGCCGCGCTGTACAGCACGACCGAGAAAAAATCTCGGTCGTGCGTGTGGCACAGGGGGGTGCTCGGGATTACAGTTGAAAAACTGTATCCCGTGCTGACTCACGGGACGGGAAAATTCTCGCGAATGTACCGTCGCTTTACGGAATCATTACGACACAGGTACAGTTCGGTTACTCCGTTTTTCAAACGGGAAAAACCGTTATATAACTGTGAGCTCGCATGAAGACATTTGAGCTACATTGGAGTCACATGCGAGTCTCATGATTGTACACATTTGAGTCAGCAGGGGCGATTGTTACAAGTACAATTTGAAGACAGTTTTTAACAACAGGAGGATATAGCCAAATGCTCAAGGAGTTGTGCAACCGTTTTCAAGATACAGCGTGGCGAAATCCTGCGAGCTAGTTAAACAACTGTTTTCTACTTGCTCCTGTCTGTGCGTAGAATTTATATAAATCTGCGCTTGTACCTGTCGAAATCAATCCAATGCATTCGCGTTTTCTTTCAAGCTCGCACTCTACTGCTTCGTATTGACGAGAGTATATATATTACCTTGGTGCTGCCGAAATTCTTCTCGATCAGTTTGCTCGTCCTACAAGCTGAGCAAGGCATAACTACTCACTTGCTATTATCATGCCCTTGGCTAGGAGGTGACAAGCTGTCACACTCGAAGGGTTGCAAGTGACGTTAAGTGTTGCCAAGTTAAGTTTGTAGTGCAAGCTTTAATCGCTTCCGCATAACGTTCTAGCTCTTAACACTCAGGCACATCTGGCAATTCAGATCTCATCTAGGCTTGGACACTTATCCAATCTACCATTGAAAAGGATCCCATCTACGTAGCAATCTATTATTCAACTCAAAACTCGCCGGGCATTGGCATGGTCCGGCCCGGCCTGACCGCGCCAAGGCCGGCGGCTCGACCCGAACCAAAAGCGTGGGCTGGGCCCAGAGTATCCCAGCTTGACCGAACCCAAAGTCCCTGCCCAGCCCACTATAGCCCAGGGCGGGCACGGTTTGTCGAAAGCAAAGGAGCCTGTATGCCCAACTCCTCACTCAACTTAGAATCACCGCTGTGGTTCTGCACTCAACTTTCTTAGGCCGAGTGCTTTCCGAGTAGGTGTTTCTTATCAAGCCTACACGATAATATTGCAATGAGCTGTGTGGCAGGGTTAAAAAACACGACCGCGTTTTTTACAAAATACCGTAAAAACGGTTTAAAACGGTTCCATGAGGTTTTTTTGTTTCAAGAAAATATCGGCCGTGTCATGGGACCACATTGACGGCAAAATGCAGCAGGATGAACCCCTCACTGCATGTGTGCATGTGGGCATGATTGAAAATGTATTCGACCTTGTTTTTTTCCTTTTTTTCTCTTGGTTATAAGAGTTCTCTAACAAAAAACCGGCCGTTTTTTTTTTTTTTACATTTCCGTAAAAAACGGACCGTAATTTACATAAACCGTATTTTTTTAACCTTGCTGTGTGGTATGATTATTGTGCTTGTAGCCCGATGGGAGTGAGTTGTCATATAACAGAGCTCCAAGCGATGATCGCACCTCATGGATATCGTACTCTATGTTTTTTGGGCACACAGGAGTCTGATCGGAACTGGACTCAATTGCCCTCCTAGAAAATCCCCATGCGGGGTGCAGCAGCTCCCTGGCAGTGGCTTCTGCATCAAATGCCACTCCTTCTGCGCCACTTGCGTCAAGCCAGCACCTCGTGAGCCGAAAACGTTGGTTTGCTAGCTATCCCCCTTCCATACGTTTCTTTTTCTTTACATTTCAAGGTTCAGATCCAGAGCAACCTCCTAACTCCCATCTCCATGCATGAGCCACCATGCCACCATGCATGAGCCACCATGCCACCATGCATGAGCCACCATGCCACCATGCCACCATGCATGAGCCACCCACCATGCCACCACGCCACCATGCATGAGCCACCATGCCACCATGCATGAGCCACCATGCACCATGTATGAGCCACCATGCCACCATGCCACCATGCATGAGCCACCATGCACCATGCATGAGCCACCATGCCACCATGCCACCATGCATGAGCCACCATGCCACCATGCATGAGCCACCATGCCACCATGCATGAGCCACCATGCCACCATGCCACCATGCATGAGCCACCATGCCAGCAGCAAGCACCAGCAGTGCTGCTGCTCTTCTTGGATAGTACAATACAAACCAATGAAATTGGACGCACATAACACATATCACACAATGTGTTCTCTTCAACCCAAAGCTTTCTGAGCGTCTCATTCCTTCCTTGGAACTGCTGTTGTCTCCATGTCTGTCCCTTCCCATGTCCATCCCTTCCCATGTCCATCCCTCCGCATCCAATGTCCATCCCTTCCCATGTCCATCCCTTCCCATGTCCATCCCTTCCCATGTCCATCCCTTCCCATGTCCATCCTTTTCCATGACCATCCCTCCCCTTCCCCATGCCATCCCTTCCCATGCCCATCCCTTCCTCCGTATCCCATGTCCATCCCTTCCCATGACCATCCCTTTCCCTCCCTTGCCCATCCCTCCCCTCCCATGTCCATGCCCTCCCTGCCTCCTCCAGCGCCCCCCTCCCCATCGCTAAACAGCACCACGGCGTCCCCATCCCCCCCCAGTGCCTCCCCAGCATTCCCTCCCCCACCTGAGACGCCCACCTCCCAGCCTGACGGCCTGTCAGCGGCAGCCATTGCTGGCATTGCCGTGGCTGCGTTGGCTTCCCTGCTGCTTCTTCTGGTTGGCGGGCTGCTATTTTGGAGGAGTTACAAGAAAGACTGGGAGACAGTACAGGGAGCAGCGACAGCAGACAAGGAAGGCGAGGATGCAGTACTGCAAGTAGAAACGGATTCACAAGGTGCAACTATGGTTCCGTTTCCGTTGCTCTTTATCAAACAATATCTGTTTCTTGCAAACATTTGAGCACAATGCAATCAGTGGCAAAGCGGCAGCTAAAGACATTCGAAGGCTTGCATGTGCTCTGTGCGTTTATCCTTCATCCCACAAGCAGGCCTGGCGGGCAGCGTGGCGGCGTGGCACTGCACGGAGTACTCCCTGGAGGAAGTGCTCACAGCCACCAGCAACTGGGCGAGTGACAACCAGCTGAGGTCGGGCGCCTTTGGTGACGTGTACAAGGGCGTGTCTCCGCGCGATGCCACCACCCTGTGGGCCGTCAAGCGAGCCAAACTGCTGGATGCTGATTTCCAGCGAGAAGTGAGCAACCTCTTTTGTGCCTGGCTTTGACCATACCACTCATGGGAAAGAAGTAAATAGTTACAGATTGGAATCGCTAACGATTCTGGCGTGCTTTCACGGTGTCCATGCTATCCATCGTCCATCCATGCAGTTAAGTTGTTTGTGGACCTCATACCCATGCCATGCCATGATGCCAATCTCTCCCCTCGCAGGTGCGACAAATGGCCGACAAGAACCATCCCAACATCGTGCGGCTTCTTGGGTTTGCCGTTGGAGGGGACATGAGGACACGACTAGAGCAATTATTGATCTATGAGTTTGTTTCGAATGGCGACCTTGATATGTGGATAAGTACAGGTATGTAAATCTCTATCAGCCATGCTCTCTTTTTTTTACAAAATATGAAGCTCACACATGCTTGTGTATGTAGCTCACACACGCTTGTGTATCATCTCACCCCTCTTGTGTATGTGTTTCACGCATGCTTGTGTATGTATCTCACACACGCTTGCTGTGTATGTTATTCACACAAGCTTATGTATGTGTGTCACATCCGCGTGTGTAGGTAACTTAAACATGCTTGTGTATGTGACTCACGCTCTTGTGTATGTGTCTCACACACTTTTGTGGATGTCTCACACTTTTATCTATCACACGCTCTTTTGCGGATGTATTTCACGCACGCTTGTGTATGTGTCGTGCACACGCTCGTATATGTACCTCTGCAGAAGCACCCTTCCGCCTCACCTTGAAGCAGCAGCTGGACATCCTTATTGGTGTTGCACATGGCTTGACGTACCTCCACAGCTTCAGACTTGTGCATCGCGACATCAAACCCGCCAACGTCCTCCTCACGGCAGACATGCAGGCAAGCAGCTTGCAAGCTTAGATCTTGCAATATCACAGAAAAAACAAAAAAAACCATTCAAAAAAAAAAAAAAAAAAAAAAACAGAACATACATATATACACACATGCTTGGTGTTATCACAGTGCGAGGCCCTGGGTGTTATCAACTAGTTAAAATGAGTTCCATGCTCTGATGTGACCCTGGGTGGGTGCGGGTATGTTATACCTTTCGTTTGAACTTACTTCATGGAGTCTAGATTCAAACGTGCTCTTGCTAAAATCTTTTGGTTCATCAATTTTGTATAACTCCAGGCAAAGGTTGCGGACTTTGGACTTGTGAGGGTCGAGGAGGGCACGACAGTGGGCACGACTCGAGTGATGGGAACACTGGGATATGTGGATCCCATCTACTCCCAGACCTGCAAAGCGACCAGGGCTACTGATGTTTACAGGTGACCTTGCATTCACGACAGCTGGTCGAGCAGCTAACTTTGGAAACTGGGTGCAAATGCTTGTGCTTCGCAGCGAATCCTATTGTGTCCCTAAGACTCCAATAACATATGCATCATGGCCACCCTGTTTGTGTAGGTGTTTGATACAACCCCCAACTGCTAGGAAGGTACATAGCACCTCACTTGATGCTGTCAATCCCTCCCCCACTCCGTGTGCAGCTTTGGTGTGCTCAAGCTTGTGGTCCTCACTGGGCAAAGCCCGTCCGGCACGGGAGATGATCAGAACGTCCACATTTTGACATGGGTAAGCTTTATCGTCCAGTTCCATGCACACGGCATCATTGTTACACCTGGCATGACTGTTACACCTGGCATGGCTGTTACACCTGGCATGACTGTTACACCTGGCATGACTGTTACACCTGGCATGACTGTTACACATGGCATGGCTGTTACACCTGGCATGATTGTTACACATGGCGTGATTGTTACACATGGCATGATTGTCACACATGGCATGATTGTTACACATGGCATGATCGTTACACATGGCATGATCGTTACACCTGGCGTGACTGTTACACCTGGCGTGACTGTTACACCTGGCATGGCTGTTACACCTGGCATGACTGTTATACCTGGAATGAGTGTTACACCTGGCATGACTGTTACACCTGGCATGACTGTTACACCTGGCATGACCGTTACACCTGGCATGGATGTTACACCTGGCATGGCTGTTACACATGGCATGATTGTTACAGATGGCATGATTGTTACACATGGCATGATCGTTGCACATGGCATGGTTGTAACACGTTGCATGACGAGGAGGAGGAGGAGGTGGAGGAAAAGGAGGGTGTGGAGGCTGACGACACAGCTGGTGGGGAGGATGCTGTTGTTGGTAGTAGCAGTGGCGCTCTGGCGTAGGAATTTTTTTTACATTGACATTTCGTTACACAAACATGATGGTGTTGTAGTTCTGGGTGTGTTGCATGAACACATATACACCCTGCAAACCCCTTTCTGTCATCCTGACCCTTCAAATCCGCTTTCTGACCTCTGTGACTATATCGAATTTCCCCCTTGGTGAACTCGAACATGTTCAAGTTCCCCTGCTGCAACAATTCGTTCGCCCTAGGCAAAAACCTGTTTTCGCCCAAATCTTTCGCCGAACCGAACCCTGTTCGGTTCGGTAGAAGGCAATGTTCGATAGGGGGCGAACTCGAACATGTTCGAGTTCGCCCTTTGCTCATCCCTGGTCTCACCTGGCATGGCTGGTGGAGAGAACGCCCCCCTTCCATGATTGTCTCACTGGTAAAGTCTCTGCTTGATTAGGTAGCTCGCATTGTAAGTGAAAGCAATTAGTATGACCAGCCTCAAAATATGTCCTTGAGGTGACCATGTCAGATGTTGGTTGCGCCTTTACTTGCCAACCATTCAACCCCTCCACTCATTTCAAGGTCACCTCACTTGCATGGGTTGCGCCCTAACGTGCCACTGGGTTGTTTTCACAGACTCGTCAATAGCCACTCCCTCATTCATAGCCACTTACTCACTTGTTGCCACTTCATCATTCATAGCACATGGTCACTAGGAAAGTGTCAGTGAGTCCCTCCTGGCGCGTGTCATTCTCATTCTTCAACTTGTTTGTCATCCCCACCTGGTTGCATTCATCAGGTGGAACAGTGCATATCCGACAACCCTGCCCGCCTCAAGGATCTCAACATGGACGTTCCTGATGATGCTGTGCTGCGCCTGGCCCAGCTGGCTCTCAGTTGCACGGTGGAGCGCACTGCAAGCCGGCCCAGCATGGCAGGCATTGCCAACGAGCTGCAGAAGATAAGGAATGAGGTGGTGGGGACGGAGGAGCTGAGGGCAGCAATTCAGGTGGACGAGCAAGCCCAGAAAATGAAGGGCTCGTTGGCTGCAGATGCTCATCTGCAGTGCGTTGATAATGTCTTGGAAGGCAGTTCTTTTGACGACCAACCAGCTGCTTGACATAACCTCCTGGCTATCATCCGGTCGTGAGCACTGGATGGCATGTTTGAGACACACCAAACGAGGCTCTGTGTAGAATATGGATGCTTATGCGCTTTACCTAGATTTTAGCGAGTGAAAGGATAGGGCTGCGAATGCTTTTTTTGCCATACGTTACTATTGTCAAATATAATCAGTATTGCAATGGTCTTAGAAAGTGTGGTATTCAACGCGGAACTTGTCGGACTTGCAGGCCGTGTTAATTTGGTGCAGGAAATTTGATGAATTTAATTCAACCATGCTGTTGGCCTTCGCAAAGAATTTTGTCAACCATATGATCAACAGAATTCAGCCAAAACCAGTGTTCGGGGATCCTAAGGGTTAATTGTGGAATCTAACCACCTGCACTCTAGGGTCTTCATAAATTTTTGCAACTGAGTTCGTGTCAGGGGCATGTGGAGCCACCAATTAGTTGCAGCAGAAGCCTGGGACGGGTGCGCACTGAGACCTGGAACGTGACACCCTGAGGCCTTGTGACTTTTCAGTCAACTCAGAAGTCACCTTGTGTGCACTGGGACCTGCAACGTGACACCCTGAGGCCTGATTCTATGTACGCCCCTTCCTCCTAACCTCATCTTCACCCCAAACCCTCAACCCCCACCCCCCTGGACCACGACCACCTTATATTTATTGTACTGCTGATGAGTGGCCTTGTTTGTGCTGCCCAGGTTACCACTACTGTTTTCTCTTTAGATTCCCAACACCCCGATGACCACTCAACTCTAGCTGCATCCACTCCAAACTCCTTTCATACAGATAGTCGGGGAATACCTACGGCGCTGGCAACATTTGCCAGCCCTTTGGGTGAACCTTGTGCAAACATCAAACTCGGAACGATTCATCTAGAACAGAGTCAAACTGGTCGCTTTCTTGAACCGAGTCAGATGGGTCGATTTGTTGACCCGAGTTAACCTGATCAGATTGTTGAATCGAGTCAAACTGGTCAACTTGTTGAACCGAGTCAAACTGGTCAGTTTGTTGAACCGAGTCAGGCAGGTCAGTTTGTTACACCGAGTCAAGCTGGTCCGTGTGTTGCCCAAGCCAAGATGCTCACTTTGGCTAACCGAGTCAAACTGGTCAATTTTTTAAACCGAGTCAAACTGGTCAGTTTGTTGAACCAAGTCAAATTGGTCAGTTTGTTGAACCGAGTCAGGCAGGTCAGTTTGTTGCACCGATTCAAGCTGGTCCGTGTGTTGCCCAAGCCAAGATGCTCACTTTGTTTAACCGAGTCAAACTGGTCAATTTTTTTAACCGAGTCAAGCTGGTCAGTTTGTTGCACCCGCTCAAACTTGTCAGTTTCTTCAACCGAGTCAACCTGGTCAATCTGTTTAACCTTGGCTGATGGTTGGGCTGGGTGTACCTAGATGTGATGTGGAATGGTGAACCTTGGCTGATGGTTGGGCTGGGTATACCTAGATGTGATGTGGAATGGTGAACCTTGGCTGATGGTTGGGCTGGGTATACCTAGATGTGATGTGGAATGGTGAACCTTGGCTGATGGTTGGGCTGGGTGTACCTAGATGTGATGTGGAATGGTGAACCTTGGCTGATGGTTGGGTTGGGTGTACCTAGATGTGATGTGGAATGGTGAACCTTAGCTGATGGTTGGGCTGGGTATACCTAGATGTGATGTGGAATGGTGAACCTTGGCTGATGGTTGGGCTGGGTATAAATAGATGTGATGTGGCATGTTGAACCTTGGCTGATGGTTGGGCTAGGTATACCTAGATGTGATGTGGAATGGTGAACCTTGGCTGATGGTTGGGCTGGGTGTACCTAGATGTGATGTGGAATGGTGAACCTTGGCTGATGGTTGGGCTGGGTATACCTAGATGTGATGTGGAATGGTGAACCTTGGCTGATGGTTGGGCTGGGTATACCTAGATGTGATGTGGAATGGTGAACTTTGGCTGATGGTTGGGCTGGGTATACCTAGATGTGATGTGGAATGGTGAACCTTGGCTGATGGTTGGGCTGGGTATAAATAGATGTGATGTGGCATGTTGAACCTTGGCTGATGGTTGGGCTAGGTATACCTAGATGTGATGTGGAATGGTGAACCTTGGCTGATGGTCCTAGATGTGATGTGGAATGGTGAACCTTGGCTGATGGTTGGGCTGGGTATACCTAGATGTGATGTGGAATGGTGAACCTTGGCTGATGGTTGGGCTGGGTATACCTAGATGTGATGCGGAATGGTGAACCTTGGCTGATGGTTGGGCTGGGTATACCTAGATGTGATGTGGAATGGTGAACCTTGACTGATGGTTGGGCTGGGTATACCTAGATGTGATGTGGAATGGTGAACCTTGGCTGATGGTTGGGCTGGGTGTACCTAGATGTGATGTGGAATGGTGAACCTTGGCTGATGGTTGGGCTGGGTGTACCTAGATGTGATGTGGAATGGTGAACCTTGGCTGATGGTCCTAGATGTGATGTGGAATGGTGAACCTTGGCTGATGGTTGGGCTGGGTATACCTAGATGTGATGTGGAATGGTGAACCTTGGCTGATGGTTGGGCTGGGTGTACCTAGATGTGATGTGGAATGGTGAACCTTGGCTGATGGTTGGGCTGGGTATACCTAGATGTGATGTGGAATGGTGAACCTTGGCTGATGGTTGGGCTGGGTATACCTAGATGTGATGTGGAATGGTGAACCTTGGCTGATGGTTGGGCTGGGTATAAATAGATGTGATGTGAAATGTTGAACCTTGGCTGATGGTTGGGCTGGGTCTACCTAGATGTGATGTGGAATGGTGAACCTTGGCTGATGGTTGGGCTGGGTGTACCTAGATGTGATGTGGAATGGTGAACCTTGGCTGATGGTTGGGCTGGGTATACCTAGATGTGATGTGGAATGGTGAACCTTGGCTGATGGTTGGGCTGGGTATACCTAGATGTGATGTGGAATGGTGAACCTTGGCTGATGGTTGGGCTGGGTATACCTAGATGTGATGTGGAATGGTGAACCTTGGCTGATGGTTGGGCTGGGTGTACCTAGATGTGATGTGGAATGGTGAACCTTGGCTGATGGTTGGCTGGGTATACTTAGATGTGATGTGGAATGGTGAACCTTGGCTGATGGTTGGGCTGGGTATACCTAGATGTGATGTGGAATGGTGAACCTTGGCTGATGGTTGGGCTGGGTGTACCTAGATGTGATGTGGAATGGTGAACCTTGGCTGATGGTTGGGCTGGGTGTACCTAGATGTGATGTGGAATGGTGAACCTTGGCTGATGGTTGGGCTGGGTATAAATAGATGTGATGTGGAATGGTGAACCTTGGCTGATGGTTGGGCTGGGTATACCTAGATGTGATGTGGAATGGTGAACCTTGGCTGATGGTTGGGCTGGGTGTACCTAGATGTGATGTGGAATGGTGAACCTTGGCTGATGGTTGGGCTGGGTATACCTAGATGTGATGTGGAATGGTGAACCTTGGCTGATGGTTGGGCTGGGTATACCTAGATGTGATGTGGAATGGTGAACCTTGGCTAATGGTTGGGCTGGGTGTACCTAGATGTGATGTGGAATGTTGAACCTTGGCTGATGGTTGGGCTGGGTGTACCTAGATGTGATGTGGAATGGTGAACCTTGGCTGATGGTTGGGCTGGGTATACCTAGATGTGATGTGGAATGGTGAACCTTGGCTGATGGTTGGGCTGGGTATAAATAGATGTGATGTGGAATGTTGAACCTTGGCTGATGGTTGGGCTGGGTATACCTAGATGTGATGTGGAATGGTGAACCTTGGCTGATGGTTGGGCTGGGTGTACCTAGATGTGATGTGGAATGGTGAACCTTGGCTGATGGTTGGGCTGGGTCTACCTAGATGTGATGTGGAATGGTGAACCTTGGCTGATGGTTGGGCTGGGTATACCTAGATGTGATGTGGAATGGTGAACCTTGGCTGATGGTTGGGCTGGGTGTACCTAGATGTGATGTGGAATGGTGAACCTTGGCTGATGGTTGGGCTGGGTCTACCTAGATGTGATGTGGAATGGTGAACCTTGGCTGATGGTTGGGCTGGGTGTACCTAGATGTGATGTGTAATGGTGAACCTTGGCTGATGGTTGGGCTGGGTATACCTAGATGTGATGTGGAATGGTGAACCTTGGCTGATGGTTGGGCTGGGTATACCTAGATGTGATGTGGAATGGTGAACCTTGGCTGATGGTTGGGCTGGGTGTACCTAGATGTGATGTGGAATGGTGAACCTTGGCTGATGGTTGGGCTGGGTATAAATAGATGTGATGTGGAATGTTGAACCTTGGCTGATGGTTGGGCTGGGTATACCTAGATGTGATGCGGAATGGTGAACCTTGGCTGATGGTTGGGCTGGGTATACCTAGATGTGATGCGGAATGGTGAACCTTGGCTGATGGTTGGGCTGGGTATACCTAGATGTGATGCGGAATGGTGAACCTTGGCTGATGGTTGGGCTGGGTATACCTAGATGTGATGCGGAATGGTGAACCTTGGCTGATGGTTGGGCTGGGTATACCTAGATGTGATGTGGAATGGTGAACCTTGACTGATGGTTGGGCTGGGTATACCTAGATGTGATGTGGAATGGTGAACCTTGGCTGATGGTTGGGCTGGGTGTACCTAGATGTGATGTGGAATGGTGAACCTTGGCTGATGGTTGGGCTGGGTGTACCTAGATGTGATGTGGAATGGTGAACCTTGGCTGATGGTCCTAGATGTGATGTGGAATGGTGAACCTTGGCTGATGGTTGGGCTGGGTATACCTAGATGTGATGTGGAATGGTGAACCTTGGCTGATGGTTGGGCTGGGTGTACCTAGATGTGATGTGGAATGGTGAACCTTGGCTGATGGTTGGGCTGGGTATACCTAGATGTGATGTGGAATGGTGAACCTTGGCTGATGGTTGGGCTGGGTATACCTAGATGTGATGTGGAATGGTGAACCTTGGCTGATGGTTGGGCTGGGTATAAA